TTCAGAAGCTACTGAGCTTCTCTATTGGGTTCCAGGGAGCAGCCTCGCTTATTATCTATATGGGATTGTTGTTTATTTGGTCGGCTGACATTATTAAGTTTCTTACGCCGGCCGATTGGATAGATACAACTAAGCAAAATGTCATTATTTATGCAGTCTCAGGATTGATTGTACTAGTCTGTGGTAAACATGCAATAAAGCGGCCTGGAAAGGACAGTAAAGTCATTACGACTTTATCAGCTCTTTGCATTGCAGTTTTATTTGGGATAGTCTTATCTATGCTTTTGCTTATTATTTTCAATCCTAATACTGCTAGTAATACGCCTGAGACCTTTACTTCAGAGTCAGTAAAGGGTTTGGCTGCTGGAGTGCACTTCCCAAGCTTGAGTTTCATAAGTGGAACGGCCTCAATGTTGTTTGCCCTTTGCTCCCATCAAAACATTCCTATCTACCAATCTAAAATGCAAGCTAAACGTAAACGAACCTTAGTATCAGTGGCTTTTGGGGCTCTAGTGATTATGGGTCTCTTCTTTTTGGGAATTGGAGCTATTGGATACTTTGTGGTGTACAACCCGGTTAATGCCAGTAATCCGTCCTACTCACCTAAAGATATCTTAAGTGAACTCAGCCAAATACTCTCTGATCCTTCCGGTTCCAAAGTCAATAGCTCGTTACAATCTATCTTCAAATGGTTAATCGCTGGCATTAAACTATCTATGTTCCCGGTGCTAATCAATGCTTTCATGTGGCAGAGCATAACATATCGAACCGTGCTTTTGAGCGCATTAAAACGCCCGATCAAGAAGCATACTGGTCAAAGTGATAAAAGCTCTGGTGTAATAGTGACGGCTGGAATTATAATTACAGCAATTACATTCCTTGTGGTCTTATTGCCAATCAACCTAAATGACGTAATTGTCATTGTGGGTGGCGCAGCTACGTCATTTATCGTCCTATTCGTTCCAGCCTATCTTATTATAACTAAGAAAATCAAAAAGTCAGATAAGCTTGCTTGGTATGATTGGGTTGCAGCTGCTATTCTTTTATCGGCCTTTGTCGGTCTGTTTTCATACGTTGTTATATATGGAACAATCGAGAAAGTAGTTGCTGCTACTAATGTGTCTGCAGCACCAAAAATGCCCCAAGGCCAAATAACATAGGCTTAGTAGATTCATCAATAAATAGAAAAGCTACTTGTTTTCACAGCTAAGCTCTTAAGAATAGGAATGGGTTAGTGTAGGGCTAGTATTGGGCCGCTTCAATGTGCATACGTCACCAAACAGTTTATTTCAGTTGTGCTTGATTCAAACTAAAAACCCACAATCTAGGATGATTTCTTAATTATAGGATGCCTTCAACATCTTGCCATTAAGCGTATAATATGTGTATGAGGTGTTCTTGAGCCCTTTGCATCTAACATGGGCTAAGCAGTTACAGAAATGGGTTAGTCGTGCTAGGCTTAAATGATGTAAATGAAACCAGGCGTTTATAAGCAATCGGGTGAATGTCAACTAACAGATTTATTATGCTGAGACAGAAATGACATGAAGTGGATGGAGAGTGTCATAGCCTACTTCTTGTAAGGGTGGGCAACAAAGCCAATCGGCCTCTCGACAAGAGATATAAAGGTAGAGAGGCTTTTCATGGCATGCTGTGATTTT